GAAGGAGGAGTTTCAAACAGCCCTTAAAAATGTGTAAGAACCCTTCATCATTCAGTAAAATAGCTAAAGAAGGAGGGAAAAACTAGTAGAAAAAGGATGGAAATTGTAATTGGTGTTTCAGTCTGGTCTGCATGTGACAAGCAGAGAGCTTTCACCTTTTATAATTATGAATACTTTGTGGGGACATTCATGACATTTTATCATTAAAATGTGGCTGGTGGATAGCAATTTTTAGGAATCTGATGATTTTTCTGTACAGTAAGGAGGGACAATTTGGTGCCCATCAGATCATTTGGACTTAAACCTCCAAAAGGTTGGCTGGTCAGTTGTGCTATACATAAAGCAAAAGTTGGGATTGTTAATCCTACTTCTTTCTTTGGTTGTCTTTCTTTCCAGATTATGTGGTCAGGTAGATTCGATTTCCATTTAAAGCAACTTTCCCCAATCCACCCTCCAGTCCAGATGTGTAGGACTTCAATTCCCATCCATCCTAAAAAGGTAGCTAAGAATGAAGACAGTGGGTGTCCTGCATATCTGGAAAGAAAGAGGCAGGGAAGAACTGACTTAAAGCTATAAGTGCCCTATAAGTAAGTTTTATAAGTAAAACTATACGTCTCTGCTGTAGGCTGAAAGGCTTTTTTTGACTCAACCATTTCCCCCAACAATTGTAGTCTGATGAAACTGCTCAGCAGCATTCTTTAGGAAACTACAGTATCAGAATTTTTTTGGGGGGGGAAAAAGGCCCCAAGGTGGTCACACACCCTAAAATATCCCCAGGGAAAATCCTGAAGGTTTAACCTTAGCTGTGTTGGCACAAGAGGCCTGAGCGGGAGAGAAAATACTTCTTCTCACAACATGTTAGCTTGTTTAGTTTCAGCAAAAGGCTTTAGCACATTATGTGAACCCATTTCCCTTGTTTCTTTAATTATTATTGCCTGAAGTCTGAAAAAGCATCATTTATCAATAATAAGCAAAGCATGTTGTGAGAATGCAGGCTCAGAGCAGCAAAGAAAGTTGTAGCAAATTTAAACTTTGAGTGGAGGCATCTGGAAGGCAGAAATCCCCATTACCATCAAGCGGGTCCCAGTAGTAATTCAGCACTAGGTTACACAGTCTGGGTTTATGCCTTAACCTTCTGTGTGTGCTATCCCTATTTATCGTGATCAAGCATGTCTGAACACAGGCAGTATTGATGGACCAACCTTGCTTTCCCCAGAGCCTGGGTCCGTATTCCCAAATTCCTTCCCCAAACCATTGCCCTCCAGATGGCTGGCAAAACATAATGGAACTTGAATTCCTACATATGTACAGGACACTAGGCTTAAGGTAGTGCTCAAGATAGCAATAGCAACAGCACTTAGACTTATGTACCACTTCACAGTGCATTACAGCCCTCTCTAAGCGGTTTACAGAGTCAGCCTATTGCCCCCAACAATCTGGGTCCTCCTTTTACTGACCTCAGAAGGATAGAAGGCTGAGTCAACCTTGAGCCTGGTGAGATTTGAACTGCCAAGTTGCAGTCAGCCGGCAGTCAGCAGAAGTAGCCTGCAGTACTGCACTCTAACCACTGCGCCACCATGGCTCTTTATAGCGAGTTTTTCCAACGTTGTTGTAGTTTCCCCAACCCAATTTTGCTATTTAGGTTTTATCTTATGTAATGCTCCTTATTAGTACTTAAAACCAAAAACGGGTTCAGAAAAGGAGCAACAGTAAAGAAAAGCAATATAAGGATTGCTTAGTGATCAGCAAATCTTGGAACCAAGTTTCTTTGGTGTCTCCAGCTGCCCTCTTTGGCATCTGGCATCACATGATTCCTCATTGAAATAAAAGTAACTCCCAGCTTTCTTCCCTTCAAACAACTGTTCCTCAGAGCAGCCCACTTAAAACCTGTAGAGGCTTTTATTGTCCTCAGTATGTTTGCTTAAAATTGCAGGTAGCCTTTATTTGACCCGAAGGAAGATTATTGTTGGGTCCAATGTGAGTTTATATAGAAAAAATCTCCCCCCCCAAAAAATCCAAGCTGAGAAGATCCTCCTTTTTCAATCAATAGTTAATGTTGATTGAATATCAATATTGATTTTCAATGTTACTTATTATACTTTAAAGACATTTGGATGGTGCCTTTCATTTGAAGCAAAAAAATAAAAACAAAAATCAAGGGAAACATTGCTGCAAAAATCAATAAGTGTAATATTCTGACATGTAATTTATGAGAAAAGAAAATTCTTCTGCCATTCCTATAAAACATCATTATCATCATCTTTATCATTAAATAATCAAAAGACGTATCTAGATTGCCCTGCGCAGTATAGAAAATCAGGTAGGTAATCTAACAATAAATATTTTCACTTCACTTTTCAACTTAAAACTCATTCAGAGTTACCATGAAAAAAACAACTTTTGGCTGAAACCATTCATATTTTTGTCCCTTATGCTGAGCTATTCAACATGCATGTGGATGTGTTGTTTCCCCACTGGTATTCAATGGAAGCATATTTTCCATTGATACACACTAAAGCAATATAATTGTTTTGCATATTTTCTCTCCCCATCAAGCAAAATTTGATAAACCTATTTTATTTATTTATTAAACATCTACACCACCCAATTCATCTAAGTGACTCTTAGAAAATGTCTTCTTCCCTAAATCCATCTATGCTTAAAATTATGAGATACAATTTATACACGTTCTTGATCTGCCAGTTAGACTGAAGAGTAAGAAGGGGGAAAGGAAGAGAGATTAAAGAGAGGGTGGGGGAAGCAAATAAATAGTCGGTTTATTCAAAGGGATTTGCAAATACAGGTTTTATTTATGTATTTATTTATTAAGTTAATATGCTGCTCCTGTCATTATCCAAAGCAAAAAGGTTGGCTGGTTTTAATAACTTTTTATATTTAATTCTAAATATAAAAGGCCACACAGTTTAACATAGACCACATAAATTTCAATTTTTTGAATAAAACAAGCAATATATATATATATAATGGACCGCTTTCCCATAAAACAGAAACTTTTCTTCCCAAGCCATTCCCAAGACCTCCTTCATTTCCTGCCTGCACAAACCAGGTTAAAAGCCGAGGAAAGGGGAGGGACGTGTGTATGTGTCTCTCTGTGTGCCTGTGTGTGTGATCTTTTCCATTCGCACAACGTGGTGGAGCGCCCTGGGGACGGACCGAGACTGCCAGGTGTTTCTCTGGCCTGATGGGTTTGGTTAACTCCGTGACCTGGTCGCGAAATCCAAATCGCAGCGTCTCGGCAAAGGAGATACAAAATGTGACTTTGATATGAGAATGTTCTTTCGCCCTGCAGGGCTTCCTGGAGCAGACCGGCTTTGCCCTTTGAAGATGCGCCAAGCCCCCTCCTCCTTTTCTTCTCTTTCTTTCTCTCTCTCTCTCTCTCTCCCCCACCCTCCACACCTCCTCCTCCAGGCCAGCGCCTAGCCAGATTCACTGGTTTGGTTTTTTTGCGGGTTAACTTTTCACCTTGTCTCGGGCGTCGTGCAAGAGGTGACCGAGCGAGAGACAGTGGCATCTGCACCCAGGCAGGGCAACCTCCGCCCCGGTTCTCCTCCGGATAAATCAGCTCTGCCCCTAAGGTGGAAAGATTTCCCCCATTTCCCACACACTAGAACGAGCTGCAGTGTTTCTTGCAACAGGGGAAAACTTTCTTACAGGACTTTCTTCAGGGTGGCAGCCAGATAAGGGGCAGGGAGGGGGGGGGAAGCTTTCTTGGCGTATGACAAACCCCTACATAAATTAAGATAAGCCTGTTAATATTCGAAATTCACTTATCGGCTATTTATTTATTTTATTTTATTTTTGTAATTGGCGCTGAAGGCTTCCCTTCCCGCTTCTCTGGGATGATTCTGGCCAATGATTATTAATGAGCAAACGGTTTTAAAATTTGAAGAAGTGCTTTTAAGAGGGAGAGGAGAATCTCCCGCAAGGCTCTAAGCAAGCCCCCCTTTGAAGTGGAGAATAGGCGCTGGCAAACTTTCCCTTGAAAGCAACAAGATGTGGGTTAGGTAGCCTGTCAGGTTCCCTCTTCAAATTCTTTTCCAGAAGTTACTGGGTTTGGGGGAGGTTTCTCCCTCCCTCAATCCCTCGGTCTCCCCCAATATCTTCTTTCTTTCTTTCTTTCTTTCTTTCTTTCTTTCTTTCTTTCTTTCTTTCTTTCTTTCTTTCTTTCTTTCTTTCTTTCTTTCTTCCTTCCTTCCTTCCTTCCTTCCTTCCTTCTTTTCTTTCTTTTTCTTTCTTTCTTTCTTCATTTTTTCCTTCCTTCCTTCCTTCCTTCCTTCCTTCTTTTCTTTCTTTTTCTTTCTTTCTTTCTTTATTTTTTCCTTTCTTCTTTCTTTCTTTCTTCCTCTTTCTTCTTTCTTTCTTTTTCTTTCTCTCTCTCTTTCTTTCTTTCTTTTTTCTTTCTTTCTTCCTCTCTCTTCTTTTTCTTTCTTTCTTTTTTCTTCCTTTCTTCCTCTCTCTTTTTTTCTTTCTTTCTTTTTCTTTCTTTCTTTCTCTTTCTTTCTTTCTCTTTCTTTCTTTTCTCTTTCTTTCTTCCTCTCTCTTCTTTCTTTTTTCTTTCTCTTTCTTTCTTTCTTTCTTTCTTTCTTTCTTTCTTTCTTTCTTTCTTCCTTTCTTTCTTTCTTTCTTCTTTCTTTCTTCTTTCTTTCTTTTCAAACGCCACCCTTACATACGCACAGATACACACGCGCGCGCCTCCTGCATTCATCCTTCCCAGACTTCTCGGCTTTACTGGGTTTCCATTCCCACCCTACCCTTTCCTTAACCGACTCTCTTCCCCCCCCCCCACGCTCCGCCGCCCCCCAGTTGCTTTCTCTTTTGCAAATCCTTCGGATTGAGTCCTTTGAACCTGCGACTGGAGGTTAAAGTGCACCAGGTTGCAATGGAAGAAGGAAGCTCTTAAAACAATAAATGCTTGGGCTATGTTGTTGTGATCGGGTCGCTGCCCTCTCGCTTATCCTTTTAAATGCAAATCTTCCTTGGGGGGCGAGGAGCAGCGAGACGGCCCCGGTGCCTGCCCGCCTGCCCCCCCCCTCTCTCTCTCGGCTCTCCTTTCCCCTCCCTCCCTCCTCCCTCTCTCTCCACGTCACCTGCCTCGGGTCGTGGGCCTGGCCTGGCCATTTCCAAGAGAGCCGCTTCAAGAATCGTTCATCCTCCGCAGCTCCCGGCGGTGCCGGTTGCCTGAGCCTCCAAAGCCGGCGGAGGAGCGTCTTTTGAGCCCTGAGGAAGCCGCAGCCCTTAAAGGCCGGTCAGGCGCGCAGCTCAGCTCGGCTCAGCCTGTTCCCCCATCGCCGGTCCGCCGCTTTCCAAGACTCTTTTCCCGCAGCAGCATGCAGAGAAGCGCCGCTCGCCTCGGACCACCATGTACGTGAGCTACCTGCTGGAGAAAGAGAGCCCCTCCATGTACCCCGGTTCGGTGCGCCACGCGGGGGGGCTGAACTTGAGCGCCGCGCAAAACTTCGTGGGCGCTCCGCAGTACCCGGACTACGGCGCCTACCATGTGCCCGCCGGGATCGGACTGGACAACGCTCAGTCGCCGGGGTCGCCCTGGCCAGCCGCCTACGGCGCGCCCCTGCGAGACGACTGGAACGGCTATGGGCAGGCGGGCGCCCCCGGGACGGCGACGGCCGGCGCCCTGCACGGACCCACCCCGGCCGGCTTGGCTTACAGCCCGGTAGCCGGTGACTACCTCCCGCACCCGCACCACCCCTCCCAGGGACCTCCGGCGCCCCCCTGCGGGGTCCCCCCTTCTGCGGGGCTGATGCAGCCTCTCAACCCGCCGCTCGGGTCGGATCCGCTCTCCCCTGGCGGCCAGCGGCGGAACTTCTGCGACTGGATGAGGAAACCCACGGCGGGGGGACCCGGTAAGGCGGAAAGGGCTGGCTGGCAGACTCTCTCTGTGTCTCTCTCTGTGTGTGTGTGTGATTTCGAGGAGAGGTGCCGAGAGCCCGCCTCGGCTTTGCCTCTCCTCCACCCGGGAAGGGAAGCAAGTGGCAAGGCTCGGTCGCGCAGAGGCGCCTTGCCAAGGGCACTCTGCACCAGCTCCGAGGCCCTTTGGCAGGGACGCTTCTGACTGCCAGATTTGAAAGGGAAGGCGAAGAGAGCCAACCGTGGGGTGAGAGTGGAGGGGGCTGAGCTGACTGATTCCAGACTTACGGGATCGGTGCTTCCATTCATGTGGCAGGTTAGATTGGAGAATCACCGGCTTTGGGGTCCGTCCCTTAAAAAAAAAAAATCACGGGCAACCGCCGGCTTTCTTTTGGCGACCCAATCTGTGCTGACCCGGTTCTTCCCTCATAAAGAGAAAAAAAGGGGCTAACGCTCCGGAACCTGCTTGGCAGGGAATCAAGGATGCGGCAAGGCTGACCGTCTCCGCAGACAGGTGGGAGAGTTCGGTGGGGCGCGCCTTTGCTTTTAGCGCCCAGTTTCCTTGATACCCCCCTCCCCTCCTCTTAAAAGAAAGAGTCCCTGCCCAAATACCTCGCAACTCCTGGCCAGCTTTTCTTTCCGGGAGGGGTTAAGCAAAGAGGCTGAAGTCTCGACCCCCACCCACCCACCTCCATACCTAGAAGGGCTGCATCCAAACCACAGTCTCAGGTTTGAAAGTTTCGGATAGACTCGTAAATTGTTCACGTTTGTGCTTTGTCACTCAAGACCGTTGAACTCACTGAAGATATAAATTAATTTCTATTATCTGGGGTTCTTTAGACACGGTCGCCGTTTGTTGAGCCGTTGATTTCAAGGGTGGGGGGAGAAAGAGAAGGGGGAAAGAAAACGCCTTGACATAAAATGAGTGCGAGGAACGGGGTCTTCGTAGAAGTCTCTACCAAGAGCGTTTGTGCTTTATTTCTTCTATAAAGAGTCCTGAACCTACGGTTATTTCTGAGGAAGTGCCCCCACCTCCCCCACCCCTTTCTATTTATTGCTCGAGATGCCCCGAGCGGCATTTGATCGGGCAGTTTCACACGGCCTGTAAAGTTTTTCACACCGGCCTGGGAATCACTCCCACTGAAATCGAGCTGCTTCTGATTCCTCGAGGGCAAATACCGGTAAGGTGGCTGAACTCACAGGCAGCGCCGCTTCACAGAGGGGCGAATGCAAAGTTCGCTCTTTTTGCAGTTTTTGCAACAACAACAAAAAGACCTGTTTTTAGGCTAAGCTGCCTCATCGGCCACAAGTGTAGCGAAAGAAAGAAAGAAAGAAAGAAAGAAAGAAAGAAAGAAAGAAAGAAAGAAAGAAAGAAAGAAAGAAAGAAAGAAAGAAAGAAAGAAAGAAAGAAGGACTGAGGGAGGGGCAGAGAGAGAACAATCTGCAAAGGAAAGTTTTTTATTCGTTTGTTTGGAATTTGAATGGGAACTGAAACTGACAACACAGAATCCACGACATCAGAGCGAAATATAGGAACCCGCCTTTCCCAGAATATTCTAAACTCCAAAGATTGGGATGTGGGGGGGAAGCTTCCCGGGAGCCCCCTAGATCGCTTTATGACTCTTTTGGACGCCTCGGCCAGGCCCAGTGCAGCATTACCTGCCCGGGGGTGGGGGCGGCGGCTGGGGAAACGGGTAGAAATTCTCTTTCGACTCTGTCTGGATCTGATGCTCCAACTCGCCCGCTAGTTCGCTTTACAATCCCGGATTAGCATGGGTGAGTCTGCTGTGCTGTCATCGACTTCCTCCAACCCTTTTCAGCTCCGTCAAAGGCTCTGGAGATGGCTGACTCGGTTGGCCGTTTCCAGCCCCTTCTAAATATATATATATACTGCTCAAAAAAATAAAGGGAACACAAGCAGAAGGCATCCGAGATCTGAATGAATGAAATAGCCTTATTAAATTCTTTGTTCTTTACATACACTAGTATGTAAAGTATAAACTAGCAGTAGTTTATACACTGCTCAAACACCTAAAGGGAACACAAAACTACTGTATGTAACGAACAAAGTATTTAATAAGTATTAAATACTTAACAAATATATAATATATATATATATATATATATATATATTATATATATATATATATATATATATATATATATATATTATATATATATATATATATATACACACACACATACATATACATATACATACATACATACATACATACATACATACATACATACATACATACATACATACATATATATATCTCCAATCCAAAGTATCAATCCAAAGTGGAGCAAACTATCGGGATGGCATCTTGTCCAAGCCAACAAAATTGAATGAGGAGTACCCTTCACAGCAAAGCTATTCCGTGCCAGTGAAGAGAACTTATTCCGGGTACTTCGACCCTTCGAAAGGGTCAAGAATGAAGACCTCCTTTAACTTTCAGCTTCATCTCATACCTCTGGGCATCACAGCCGGGGCGTCCAGGACGTTTTTTATCATTTCAAGCATTGAAGGGAAGCATTTCCAGAGCTCAAACTTGTTATCATTCCGCATCAACCGCGTTAGGCTGGCCAGTCTTCACAAGCATCTAAGCAAAGCTCGGAGAATCTTAGCAGGCTCCCCTAGAAATTCGCTTTCTTTTTCAAGTGCGTTTTGCTATCAAGACAACCATTTGCTCGTGGAAAGTCTAGTGGGCCCTCCGGAGCCGGGAGAACAACGGTAGACAACGGAAAACAGGGAGGCCGAGGCTCTTTTCCCTCTGGCCGTTTGTCATTCGAGGTACCGGACTTCAGAGTCCAACAGATCCAGGCCGGGGTGCTGGTGGGTCTGTGCAGTTTCACATGGTTAGTCCAGAAGCAATGGGAGGTAGTGGGGTGGGAGCAGGCTGAATGAGCTTGCTCCCACCCCGGGGAGCAAGGGTTCAACAAGGGCTCAACCAGGGCTGCCCAGAATTTAGCAATCTGTCGAGGTTTTGATAGACAAGCGCCTTATTATCCATCCCGGAGCAAGGATCAAACCCCGGAGCAGGACGGACCTAAACGTTTTCTCACTTACGATGTTTGGACCTGGGGCAGCTAGAGAGCCACTGAGGACCACCCCGGGGGCTTTTGCCACAGAGACACACGAAACCATTTTCAGGGACCCCTGCTTCGTCTGAATTGTTCCGCCCCCGCCCCCCCGACTTCTCCAGATGTGCTGTTGGCAGTGGATAACTAGGGACACTATTGAGCGATTCTAGAACTGGTATAGGGCTAGAGCCAAATTCTTGTGGGTGCGGGCTAACTATTCTGATATCGCCTTCCATTTTCGGTATTAAAAGATACTAAACCCGCATGCACGGAAACAAGCAATGTTGGCTGCAAAGCTGGGGTCGGAAATCCACACGACTTGCTCAGAGATAAATTCAAATCAGAACTGGAAGATGAGGAATTATTATTTTTTTCCAGGCAGTCCAATGCAGATTTAATATTAATTACAGTATCCATATCTAAGATCTGGATTCCAATGAGACTGGAACCCGGTTGACATCCAATTCTTTTGCATAAACCTCGAGCCATGTTTTAGGAGAAGGTTCCTTGAAAATCCACAGCCTTTAGTTACCTACCGATGAATATAGGCCGTATATTTTTTAAAAGCGCCGAGACTGGGAGACTCAGTTACTGTATATACTGTAGTTCCAATGACCTCGGGATTCTTCTGACTAATATTATGTCCTTGTATGTTATGTATGAGTCGTGTGCGTGCATATACAAGCACACACATACACACAGAGAGAGGAATAGGCAGAATTGCTCGAATAGAAGGTTCTTGTACATTCTGGGGATGAGGAATAAAAAAAGTTTTGAGTGCAGGCGGGCGATCAAGACGCTACTTTAATCCAGTCCTCTTAAACAGTTAACTAAAGAAATATTTTAAAAAATGTGGAACCTGCTCTTTCGGAAAAGTTCAAGGCATGCAATAGAGAAAATGGTGCGAGGCTAGGATTAAGGGAACTCCACACTTTCCCAGATTCTGGCGACTTTTTTCTCCTTTGGCTGCCAAGGGCGGGGGGGGGGGGAGGAGGCTCCTACCTTCCTCCAGACAGAGCCTATCTTGAGATGAAGCCAACAGCAGCATCCGCTGAAAGGACTCCCCCCACCCCACCCTCAAAACGGTTGGGTTTCGGCTGCTTTTTTTCCTAGAAGATGAAACACCCGTGACGTTTGCGCGCAGGAACTTCCCCGAGATTCGACAGCCCAAAGGAGCCGGAGAACTTCCCCAAGCCTGGTTGTCTGAACTAGCGCCCGGCTTGGCCAAGTAGCTTCCCAATCGGAGTTTCTCTCGTTCTTGCTTGACCCTGGTATTCGTCACCCGTGGCCATTGAGAGCCCTGCCTACGGATGGTGGGGGTTTTAATCCCGCGCAACTGGGAAGCACCGTTAGCTTTGGTTCTTACCCACTTTGGCGGGGGCGGAGGGTCCAATCGCAATTGCCGGAATATCCTTCCATCAAATGCTACCTTTCCTGCAAATCAAAGCTGGCGTGGAGGGGAAAGCTTTCCCCCAGCCCCACTCCGCAGCCCCCAAGCGACCTGTTGGCCAAAAGAAGGTCTGTGCCAACCTCTTTCTCAGGTCCTGGCGTACAGCTCAAGTGAGCGAAAGCTTAGGTTGTAGGGAAGGGGTCCTGGGCAACCTGAGCCAAGTAACGAATCTTATTCCCCACCCCACGCTGGGCAAGGAAAGGCTGCTTAAGGGCCACTGTCCGAGCGCTAGTTCCGGTGGAGCTGATGTCGGACTTCAGGGGGGAAGCGAAGCCTGGAGGCCTGGTTACAGCCACTTAAAAGATTTTTTATAACCAATTACAGTCCAATAAATCATCGGTGACTGCGCGGTTAGCTTTTCTATTGGTTTCTGACACGCTGCGAGCAGGCTTTGGATTCTGCCGCGCAGCTCCGGCTGCTTTTAACATCTCGCAGTCAGCGCTCCGCTCTCAGTCCTGC